GTTGAATACAGAAATGATACTTTCAAAGCAATAATCGAGTTAGAAAAATTAAATGTTAGTAAATCAAATCGGATTCTCAAAGATACTGCATGGATATATTAAAAACCTTTATAACCCTTTTTCTATAAATATAATTAGAATTTATGGGTATTAGACTAGAATTATTTTGTCTGTGAAAGGAGCGTTGGTGAAATAAACTATCAATGGAATGAACTTATTATGAAATAAGTGTTGATAAAATTAGTTTGGTGATTTAACCAAAACAGAACTTCCTCCTCACAACTAAGCTGTTGATAAGTTGATCAAAACCGAATAATTCAACCTACTAAAATATGTGTAGTCATGCTTCTGAATATAATCATGCAAAATTGTATAATTTAACAGAACACTTCAATTAGATTATAACGCAATTCTAGAAAGAGAACATAATAACTATAGACTTACTAATTTACTATTGAAATATATAAAGTCATGGTTTAGAAATTCACAGTTGAAAAACAATATAGACAACTATTTTACTAACAGTCACTTCAACAATTTCTAGCTAACCCTAATTAAACCCTAATTAAACTAAGCCAACACTTGTTAGCGAAATGGTTGTCGGCAAAATTGATTTGTACCCTAAAAAAATATTAAAATATCTCTATTCACAAGTTAGGTTAATATACAATATTAAATAAATAAAGAAAAATACAATATACAATACTTATAATTTAGGCTTTAACTATGATAATATAACTTCGTAATTTTGTTTCTAATCATAAAATTGTATATTTTTTTTAATTATTAAAAGCAGAATAGTTATCGAAGTTTACTCAAATCAAAAACAAATACGAAAACAACTAGACTGTTAACTAGAAGAAATTAAGAATAAATGTATATATAAAGGTAAGTGCAAACTATATATATATGTTTGTGAGTGTTGTATTATTACTAAGGGTTTCGGTGAATTTTTTGCCTCTAGGTTTGTGATTGTTGTATTTGTGCAAAGGGCTTTCTTCAACTCCTTTGGGTCCTAGTCTATTATCGTTATCTGGAGCACAAAGATGCAGGTGAAACTCTATAATATGAATAAAGTAAATTTACAAAAATAAATAGTTTGGGAGGTGTGCTAAAGGTTTTAAACCTAAGAATTTTTTACAGTAATAAATAATCTCATGCTATACCCAGTAGCACAAGATCAGGCATATGTACATACATACGTATGTATGTATATCAATATTAAATTTTATATAACCACTCTTAGACTCTATTACGGCTGCAATTCTTGCTGATACAAATTTGTAATTACATCGATGCCTATGTCTTCCCATATTTGAACTATTCAGTTCCGTAACTTGTCTTTTTTGGTTCTATCAAAATACTCCTTTTTATTTTGCTCCATAAATGTTCAATTGGATTTAGATCAGTAGAGTAGAACAGTTATATTATCCTTAAGCCATGCTTTTATTGCAATTGACGTGTGTATACTAGCATTATCATGCTGAAAAATCATTTTGTCCTCATCGTATTCACATGATTCCAGCACATCTAATAGACAATCTTTGAGAATATTAATATATACTGCCAAATTTAAAGTTCTTTCGACTAATTCAATATAACAACCTTCTCTTTTTTTCAGCAGTAATACTGACATCTTTTAAAAGCACCAAAAAGTATAATCTTACTTTTATCAAAAAAAATAACCTTCTTCCAATCATCAACGGTCCAGTCTTTATATTTTGTTGCAAATTTTAAATGTTCTACTTTATGTTGATCAGTAAGAGCAGGACGTCTTTTTTAACTCTAAAAACATATCCATTTCTTCGAAAAACGTTTCATATTGTTTTGACTGACATCTCTTTATTTGTTTCACAACAAAACTTTGCATGCACATCAACTGCTGTTTCACATTGCCCAGGATAATCATTTCACATATTAATTTTTCTAAATAAGAAGAAAAAATTTTAGGATGACCCGACCTTAGCAAATCATCAATTTTGCCTGTTTCTTTAAACTTTTTCATGATTTTAAATATTGTTGAGGAAGAAATTCGAATTGTCCAAGCAACTTGACGTTGAGAACATTTATTGTCGCAGCTGATGCTGAAAACGGCTGATGCTGAAAACGGCTGATGCTGAAATTTGGGGTCTCTATTTAAAAATATAAGCCCTGCTAAAATCCACATATACTTGTTAATTATCAATTCTAACCCTAAACACTAACTCAACTATAAAAAAAAAGCGGGGAAAAAACACCCTAAAAAATTTTTAAAAATTCATATCAAAATAGATCCGAATTTCAGCATCAGCCGTTTTCAGTATCAGCTGTGACATTTATTTTCAACAAGAGTAAGAATTATTGCTTTTTGAAATAGTGTTAATTTTTGATTTTTATTATTTTGGTATAATTGAAATCTTACTACACTTTTATTCTTAGGTGCTTTTGGAGATTTTTTTTAAAGATGAAAAAGAAAGTAATTTTAAGCAAAAACGATTTAACAATGGCAGCAGAAAAAAATAAAATATATGATTGTTTTCACAATTCTTGCTATAATCAGCACCTTAGATTTATCATTATTAAATATTTAAGGTCAAAAATAATATCTAAATTGTACATATACTCTCCCGCATTTATTAATATAAAACCATATTAGGTTTAAAAGGCCTTAAATTTTGTTATATATACATATATATATACTTAACAATTGGAAATAACCTATGTATGTATATACGTATATATGTACATATAAATCGAATAATGGCCATTTACTGCATTGATAAATTATCTATAGTTTGTCTTTTTTTAGTTTTTAATTACTACTCTTAGATAGGGTTGTAAATTTTAATGTACCGTAAAAGTGCATATACATGACCCAAATCTGGTATTATAAAACGTTGTATAAGATATTGGTACCCTCTTGTTCTATACTGTACCTGGTATATTTCAAGGCTGTTTGTTGTGGCAATTTGTAAGATACCTTCAATGACCGATTTAATAAGTTATAGTAATCATACAGGTCTGACATAATAACCTGTATGTACCCAAGTACAATTAAATTAATTAAAAGTATAATGAAAATAAAGTTTTAATTAATATATGACGTAATTACTGATTTATTATAAATATGATTTGTTTTCACGCAATAATTTTAAAGTAACTCTTTTTTGACATACCAAATAGAACTTTAGCGATCAACAATTCTGAAGCGTTACAGGTTTTAAGCCTTTCCTATGTTACAAATACAGAAAAAAATAATCAGTTTAGAAAGGAAAAAATATTATAAAAACATTAAATGAATTTGTAATAAAGCCTCAGTACTAACGCTTATACTATGTAGAATCAAAATCAAAGATCTTTTAATTATACTACTATAATATCCACCAATGTAATTTCAATTATTTATTTATATTATTTTAATTTATATATTAACTCTACTTAATAATTTTTTTAACCTAGTTAAGGTTTCTATTACCAAAAATTGTATGATTCCAAATTTGAACTTCACAAAGAAAGCTTAATTTCATTCTTAAAACTAACAAATACCTCAAAATTAACAAACGTCTATATATTAGAATCAATAAACATCTATGCATTAGAATCTATAAATGCTTATATCTCAAAGCCAACAAGTGAAAGCAATGACTAGTAGAAAATAATTATTATAATTAAGTAATTGAATACTATATAGAAAAAGATAAAAAAGTATCATTGCCCATTGCAAATAACAGACCGTAAAGTATAATAGCAAACTACAAAGAATGTTATTATTCAATTTCCTGATGCTAGTAAACCGATCGATCTTAATTTGAAACTTTTTTTCACTAATCAGTCAAAATGTAGTGCTTTATTTTTCAATAAAATATATAATTAATATATTTGCCTAGCCAATTACTAAATAGCATTTCACTCAGCTAATTACAATTTAAAATTACATTAATTACAAATTAAAAAATATACTGCTTATAATTTGAAAAGCACACTAATTATAATTTAAAAAGTACACTACAGGATCTATATGAAAAATGTGTAAATTTGAGAATCACATGATTTTATATAGCCTCATGCAAATAAATATTCGAAAAAAGCACAGGTTGTTACATAAGACCTGAATTATAACTATAACTTATTCTGCTTATATTAAAATATTTTATTTGATCGATTAAAATAAAATAAAACCAGCTTCAGAACTAATGAGCATCATCATCATTGTATATGCATATATACAATATATAGATATATTTATTTAATTGATTATATGCTTGGTGAAAAACATTTGTCTTAAAAATTTAAAAAAAAAGTTTGACTACCTAATGCTAAAAAAAATGGATTTATCATTACGGAGTGATCAAATGCTATTGTCTTCTATATATGTGTTGATGTTTTAAATTAGTAGAATCAGTTTTATATTTAGATTTGAAAACCAAATTAAGTTTCAGCACCAAACCCTATGCACAAAATTTATGGTATAGGATATAACCTGATTTAATCATAGTGTCCTACGATACATATAAATTTTTATTTCTGATAGTTATACTAAAGTTGCATATACAGTACATATATGTATAATACTATATATATATATAGTTTAATATTTATTTTATAAACTACATTTATATAATTTATTATATTATATATATTATATATCACTGTTAATCATTATTTTTATTAGATACAGTATGACTTTGACTACTACTACTTGTTTTATTATTTTCATTAGATATAGGAGGGCTTTGACTGGTTTCAGTATAGCGTGGTGGAGGGCTTTGATAGCATGTATTTGTATAGCGTAGAGGAGGGCTTTGATGACTTGTTAAATTTTGTGCACGCAGTTGATCAAATTCATTAGCTAAAAGAGCAAATTAAAATAAATAGAGCAAATTGAAATAAAGAAAGTAAAAAAAAAAAAAAAAAAAAACCTGGTTTTTTCCAAAAATGAGTATTAAACTCATGATAATAAGTACGTCCATTTTTGGTAGATTTACCTTTGGGATCACCTTGAATATATAAAACCATATTCTACGTAGTATAACAATAGGTATTAATTTGTAACTAAAACTTCTACATATGTACGTACATACAATCCAATATCTATATATAATATATATACCTTATAATCTTTGACTAATCCATTAAATTTGTCTTTACAATTATTACCTGTAAAATACGTTCCAAATTCGAAATTAATTCTAGTTGTCACACCATTCCAAAATAATGATTTTTGACTTCCAGACATATTATAAAATTCTGCATTATTTTCTTTATACTCATCAATTAGTACATGAACATGTACTGCCTTCCACATTTTTCTGAATGATCGAAGTTGGATTAAATCCAAACCATCTTTTTTTATAATTACTAATGAGCATGTTTCATTAATAAATTTTATACATAAAACAATATAAAATTTAATATGCATATACGTAGTTCTATCATTATTGATTATGCGAGGGATTAAAAACAAAAGGTGATAATAATTAACAATTATTATATTGTAATTGTTTAATTATCGCTATTACATGTCAAAATTTAAGTGTAATTGCACAAGTCTGGACACTTTATATATGCATATTTAGAATTTGGAACTAGTTTTATTTTTCATATATTAAACCTGATTCTAAATTCTAAATACGTTGCAGGAAATTTAAAACCTCAATCTCTATATAAAGATAATAGAGATAATGCACAAACTAGTACGTAGCATATTGAAAAACATTTCAATCTCATCAAGGTAAAGAATCTGAAATTCACAACCTCTTTGCATAGACGTACGTATTTAATAGAAGCTATTCTATGTGCAGACATATTGTTGTAATTAGTTATGACTTATTTTAAACCAGATTATTTTTATTGAAGTAATTAGGTTACAACCTAATTATGACAATATGTCTGCATCTCCAATCCTATGCATATGACTGACATTTAAAATTAGCCACTACTAATTTTTAGCTTATCTTCAGTATGTTTAATTAATCTTTATTCATATATGGGTGATTATTTTTAAATCCAGACCAAAATGTTATTGCATTATAAATATAAAATTGGTCCTGGTTCAAAAATAATTACTCATATATATAAAGTGATTGAATTGCCAATCTTTTAATAATCTACAGGTTTAAGAATTAACCAGTCTAGACTGCTCACAGTAAGAATATAAAAGATGCACCAATCAGATCTCTTCTAATAAGCGACACCAATAAGATCTCCAGACCAGGTGTAACGTAAAAATCACATTTTTTAAACAACTGCCGATAACTCTATGAAACTACCTTTTGCACACTAACAAAAAAAATTAGATACAAACTTTTGGCATAGGATAAACCTTCTTTGGTCATTAATCTAACCCTAACATAAAGTTTTATAACTTTAAAAACTGATCTGTGAACAAAATTAAATTGACAGCCATCTAATTATCCAATCTTTCTTTTATTTTGTAGAACTTCACAAAATAAAAAGAAGTTTATTCAAATTGGATAATTAGATGGTAAGCAAATTTAATTTTTGTTCACAAAATCAACATAGCCTCGGAGGCAGGGTTGAAAACACCATAGTTCGGCCATCTACTGCATCAATGCTTATTGTTTACAGTATTTTTTGATATAAATTTATCACTATTGAATAAATATTTATAATAAAGTAATTTATTCAACAATTTATATAATATGCATACATATAATTGTAATTCTAGCCAATAAAATTCTAATATACTATAGATCAATAATGATAATTATTGAATGGCTAGCAAATTACTATAGTATTTTCAACATGCCTTTGAATCTTTTAATTCTTAATAAAAAAAATTAGTAAGGGGGATAACACTTATTATGTAAATATAACCCCTTCAGAGTCAGCCAGCTGACGATTACATGTTCTAAGGTAATCATAAACTTTATATGATTGGTTATTTTAGAGCTTGCAATTGTCAAACGATTGATTGTTTTAGAGTTTGTAATTGTGTTGAATGAGGGATATATTTACGTAATAAGCATCAGCTCCTTTATATATATGCTTTTGTTATTTGTTTAAAATGCCCATACAAATGCCACATAATTCTTTAAAAACAATAACAATTAATCGCGCCTATTGTGTGATCGCGTATGTTTGTAGTCTCTAATATAACTTTCATTTAGAAAGCTGACACTTATTACATAGATAAATTATAACCCCTCAGAGTCAGTCATTCGACACAATTACAAATTCTAAAACAATCAATCATTTGACAATCGCAAGCTCTAAAATAACCAATCATATAAAGTTTATGATTACCTTAAAACATGTAATCGTCAACTGGCTAACTCTGAAGGGGATTATATTTACATAATAAGTGTTATTTCCCTTATTCAAAAACTACCCATGATATACCCACGATATACTCATAGTTTTGTTAGTATTTTATTAATAAAAAACCACGATACACCTATGATACACCTATGATATATTTACATATCTAGGGAATGGCACTTATTATATAAATATAACCCCCTTTCAGAGTCAGCCATTTGACAATTACAAGTTCTAAAGTAATCATAAATTAGTATAAACTTTATATGATTGGTTATTTTAGAGCTC